AGCTGCTTTGTCTGCTCGCAGCCTCTCCCTGGGGTGTGCTACCCACCCAACCCCCCAGGGTAGGCTTGACAGGAACGGGGGAGAGGCATTTTAAATGCCAGTGAGCTGGAGGATGCTTGCGGGGTGCAAAGGAGGAGCTGGAGGCAGAAGAGTGCCTCCCTCAGACCTGCTGGATTGGGAGCAGCCACAGTCCTTCTGTCAAGGGACTGAGTGCAAGGATTAAGGGCCTGAGCTACTACTGACACTGGGATTAACCCCTGCAGGAAATTAAAGTTGTAGAGAAGGCTCTTCACAGCTGAGAGAAAAACTGGGATCTGGATTAGAATTGGCAGGGCTGGTGACAAGCCACCACCCACAGCCAACTGTTCCCGGCTGGATCAGAAAATGTTATCTCAGTCTTCATGTAGAACCCCCCGCCACATCTCACTCGGTTACCAATTTTTGCCAACAGTGTGAGAAGAACAAAAACATCACTCTGTGTCAAGAAAAAGAGGAGGAAACTGGGTAGCCAGCTCACGTGTCCCTCCTCTGAGCCCCTCTCCCACTCCCTCACCCGCTTCCTTTCTCAGCTGCCTCCGTTTTGCACGGAGGAAACGTGCACGTGGTCTGTCGCGTTCAATAATACTTGGAGAAGATGCTGGCACACACATGGCTGGATTTCTTCCTGTCAACTGCCCCCTCAGCTCTCCTCCTGCTGCTGCTCTGGGCCTCCTCCATATGCCACACTCTCGCTGTGCTGGGACTTTCCTGTCACTCCCGTGTTGGATATCCCGGTCTCCCCACCTGCTTCCACAGCCTCCCAAGGAATTCCACTTCTCCACAGCAATCTGGGTCTTTCCCATCCGTGCTACCCGCCCTGGTTCCCCTTCGGATGCTCTGTGCTTTCTCAGAGGGTTCAAGAAGGCCTATGCCCTTGGTACTTCCAGCCCCTCCAACATCTCCCAGTCTCGTTATTGTGCATTGGTCAGGGAGGCTTGGGATGCAAACAATGTGTTCTGGTTAAGGTACAGGATGAGGAATCAAGAAAACTAGCTTTTCCCCTGATTTTGCCACAGGCCCATCAGGAAACCTTGGCAAAGCCCAGCCGAAACTCCTTTACTCTGTGTAACCGATAAGCCCTACTGATCATCTCCGCGGGGCAGGAGAGCATGTACAAGCCCAAGCGATCCAGTGCAAGCACTGTGCTTGGCAGCTTGGAAAATCTTGAATGGGGAACTGATGTGGGCTCATGATGAGGCAGCAAGAGCTGGGCAGCTGAGATTTCAGCCAGCCAAACTCAGCAGCCACTTTTACCTCGCTCATAGTCTGCCTCTCCATAAAATGGGGATAAAGTTGATCTTTCTTGGAGGGGCTTGGGGAGGAAACATTTTTTAACACCAACCACGTTTGCATTTCAGAGGTGCCTACACATTGATTGCCCTTTCAGAGATCAGAAGCTTTTTAACCTCTTCACATCCCAGAGGATAGGGTGAGGGTTTTTTTTCACATCAGGTCAGGAATGTGGCAGAGTCCCTTACAATACTGACTGGAGTTTGCATGCTTTCTACTTAGTTTATTGCTTTCTGTGTGAGGTGTTTTGCTTAGCTGTGATCGATCACTGTAAGTAAGATGGCACCATTTCTTCTGCAGCTGGGTTTCTAGTATGAATTTAAAATGTGCTTTCCATTGATTGTGACAGCACAACACTAATGAATCCTGAACACACGTGTTAATAAATCAGCAAGTGCTGGCAACAAAACCCCCAGCTATTTAGCTTAGAAGCTCACTGGGGCAGCGACACACACTATATGTGTTTCTACAGTGCTGCTGAGCTTGGCTGCCACCTCTGGGTGCTTTTGCAGTCCAAATAGACAACAAATGGGGGGCTGCCGCTGAGACGAGGTGACCTCTTGTGGTCAGTAATTTGCTGGACTGACCTAGGTCCGTTGGGGGACCAAGAATGGGCATCACCTCCATGCCATCTAAACCCACTCGTGGTACTGTCAGGAGCATGATTCCCCCCTAGGACCCATCAGCCAGGTTACTTCATGAACTTCCAGTTGCTGTAATCAGACCCCACGGCTGCCGTGTCTCCCTGCCCTCTGTGTATCAACTCTTCTTCCCCAAGGGCTGATGAAAGAACAAGCGTAGAACAGCATGCTTTAATCACTGGACTCTGGGCTACCACTGTCCCCCTACATTATGGGTGATGGTAATGAAAAGGAATCCTAAAAGCAACAAGGAAAGGGGAAGGGAAAAAAGATAATCTCCTTGAAGTGTCCTCCATTCCCTCCCTCACCCTGCTGCTTTTCTGATAAAGGCTAAAGCAATTCAGCATTGGAAGGAGAAAGGGACTTTGCCATCACCTGTCAAGGAGAGCGTGGGGGAGGGATGAACGTCTGCTTCCTGATAATTTATCAGTGGCATCTGTTGCAGCCTCTGTCACCTACCCTTTTTTAATATAGGTCACCCACATGCCCTGCCAACGCTTGTAAGCCAGACTGTTAACGGAGTCTGATCCCTGAGCCATGATCCAAGGGTTAGTGCAAAAGGACTAGGAGAGATAATCAGAGACAGAAGTTGATGGACACTGTTTCTGACTGCAACTCATCCTAGTGACACAGTCACCTGTCTCCCTAGCCTCAGAGTCCCCATCTGGAAAATGGGATACCTTTATCCACCTACCTAGACCAGAGGCACTACTGGCTACGACCTCAGCCTTACTTCTGGGGGTCATTAAATACAAAATGACACCACCACAACCTACAACCATGGTAAGAGCCATTCGTAGAGCACGTGGAAAGCTTTGGATCCAAGGTGCCACAGAACTGGGAAGTGTTAATAAAACAGTATGTGGATGCAGGAAACTGAAACCCTCCTCACCCTCACGGTATGCTCCTTGGAACCTGACTTAGGAAAGCTAAGGCTTTAGAGTGATACTGCAAACATTACTGGTGTCTGGGCAGGGAGAAGGGAAGCACAAGACAGTGATAGCGCCTGCTGTAACTTTTATGCCCTGGCAAGTGCTGCAGAGTTATTACGATCTCCCCAGCATTCCCCCCAGCAGTAAAGTTCCCTGTTCAAGCTAATTAGGGGAATCCTCATTAGAGAGTCCTCTAGAGTCTGACAGCAGGCCAAACGTCCGAGTGGCACTTCAGCTCAGTGTATTTTTGGCCACTGGAGCCCATGGGCCAGAAATGGATGATTTCATTCTGTTGCTTTGAGATGGAACTAAAAAAGTTGTCTCACTGTCCTATATCAAATGGCAAGAAGAAAAGGCCATCACCAGCCCCACAGGCTACTCTGTTCATTTCTCTAGAATCTGGAAAAGAGACTCAACTCCAAGCACGTGGAATAAAGTTCTGGACACTGTGTCCCATGAATCACAGGGCATTCGGTTGACATGTTGCTCCAGGGAGAAGGAACCACCTAGTAAGCCTGGAAGAAAGACTAATGCCTGGATTGTGGAGCCCTTGGGTGATTTCGGAGCATTCAGAGCCCCAGCAATGCTGATCAGCCTCGAGCCCCGAAACCCAGGCAAATGCCACGCTAGTTCAGAACGGATGGCACAGTGCCTCTCCTCTTGGGCTGGGCGTATGTGTATGGGCACTCTTAGGTCTGGCAGAGTCCTTGCTGATGGAAAAGTCCCTGGCTGTCAGGCTGAAAGCAGCCGGATTTGGCTGTGCTCTGGAGAGCCTTGAGGTGTGGGCAGGTGCCAGTTGCCCCCGGAGTGTGGGGTTCCCAGCGCTGCGTTGGCAGTGAGCACAGCTGGGCTGGTGCTCTGCAGAGCAGAAGGCATCTCTTGGGCCACAGTAAACCAGCTAATTAAGTCAGAATTCAAGACAAATCTGAGAAAACCTTTATGAAAGAAACTCTCAAAAAATCCTCCCTGCCTCCTTGCTCTCTTCTGGATGCAGAATATTAATCACTAATGTGCTTATGGGCAGTAGACGCATGGGAGAAAACTGTGTTTTTCTGGATCCTTAGAATTAAAATTTGTCGATAAACTTACTACTTCAAGGTATAAATGCAGAAGCTCATTGTCCCTTTCACTTCAGCAGTCAGGAACCTCTACCTATTCCACATATACAGCTCTGCCACCTGAGCATATGTTATGCTTGGAGAAGCAGGCAGTTTTGTGCAAGACATGAATGCTGATAAATATGGGTCACAGAAGTACGTGTGCAAGCCCAGCTCTGTGCACACATTTGTAAAGGTAAGCCAGATTGGCAACCATTATCTGCATATGTACAGGAAGATAGCTGCTTTTCAGTCTTGGAAACATGTGTAAGAGTCCACAAAGGGTGGCTGCTATCCATGGGGCGGGGAGTGCTGTGTTTATGTGACACGCTTTTAATAGCCTTGGGTTTATCAAGGCACCTCCATCTTTGTGCGTGTTGCAGTGCAGGAGACAGCATTAAAGCCTGAACAGGTGTTAATCACTATGCACTGTAATAAATTCTAAACATAGGGAAAGGGCTTATTTATACACGGCTGCTCGTCCCACCCTGCACTCTGTGCTTGAGCCTTGGCGCTGCCTGAGAGGAAGAGGCGCCTGTGAGGTACCAGAAACCAGTGCAAGAGCTGGACTTGCCCTGCCAGAGCAGAAGGAGCTAGGGGCAGAAACCCTGACCCTGCCACCATCCTTGCTCCTGGGTATGCTGGTGCTGCTCCAGCCCCCCACTGTCGCCTGGGGATGGTGTGGCTGAATTGCACAGAGCGGGGTGGGGGAAGACACCAGCCCACGGCCTGAGCAGGGGTTTGGGCTGAGGGGAGACCACAGAGGGGAGACGTGTCACCAAGCACCCAAGGAAGCTGGTGGTTTTTGGTTTGTTGTTTTTTTTTTTTTAAAGCTTAGCCCCCCTGATTGGAGCTGAGCCAGCTGATACAGATGGGGTGTTACAAAACAGAGCCAAAAGGCAAGAGCGCAAGGAACAGAGCTATCTATAACCCTGACAAAGTTAGATGGAGTGAAGGTGGGGAAAGAGGGGAAGACAGAGCGTGGCAGGCAGCCCCTGATGCTGAGAGCAAGGACGCGATCGTTCGGCAACGGGATTTGGAGCTGATTGACTCCCACTATCCAGCAGGCAGATAAGGCTCTGTGGCTGTCAGCTTAACTCTGCCGTTTATTCCTGTGCTGTAGGGAGTTAAATAGAGCACACGGATAGCCTGCTGCCGGGGAGTGAAAGTCAAGGAGGGAGAGGGAAGGAAGAGACCGTAACTGGGCAGTGCCCGGGGAGTCGGGTGGAAGTGGCTGCAGTCAGAGCCCCTCCAGGTAAGTGCTTGTGGCTTTTCATCCTCCTTGTCGATACCGACAGCTGGGGACAGGAGGCTTCACGGGTGGCATTTAGGATGGAGACATTGGTATGGGGGAGGCTGAAAGTCTCCTTCTCAGCCAGGGCGAGCGCAAGCACTGAATGGGGACAGCTATTTGTTGCAGCTTCTCCTTCAGCAGGGACTGCAGGGAAGGGGCTCCAGCTTGGTTTGGGGAGGGGGGAGGGCTGCAGCGGGTGAAGGTTGGATTGGTTTTGGTGCCGTGAGAGTTATTCCTCCATTTGGTGCATTGGCATTTGGGTAAATGATCTAAATAGCCTTGCAAAAATGTACTAGTCCAGGCATTGAACCTGCTTATCTTTCCCACCGAGATGCTAATTTAAATATTTCCTGGTGGTTTACACTCCTGTATAAAATCAATCAGTCATGGGAGCCTGGGGGAGGGGGAGCAGCTGGCACGTGTGTGGGGAGAGCATCCCGGTGGGAGTGAAGCGCCCAGCTAAAATAAGCGCTGTGGATGCTGTCAGAGCCCCTCAGAGAGGAGGGAGGATGGTTTATTTCTGTACCCTGGTTGAAATGTGTCCATCTAACTGCTGCTGTGACTGTGGGCAGCACGTCAGAGAGCAAGCAGGGGGACCAGGAGGGTCCGCGGTGTTTCCTCTTTTCCTGCTTGCCTGTATCCAAAAGGGAAGCGGGAAGGAAGGAGGAACCTGTTGTCAGTCACTTATTGTCAGGGGAGAGTTTATGGTCTTTGGGTTTCTAATTAGACTGAGCATTTTTCCTTCTTCTAATTAAGATGTAATTCCTCTCTTTTCAACACTCCCACTCAGTCTCCCCCGCCCCAGGTCCTCCCTTCTCCTCCGAGGCTTGCTCGCTCTTCAGCTCCTGCAGTTGCTGCAGTGTGAAATCCCCAAGCTGAAGCTGTGCTCTGCTCAGCCCCGCTCTAGGCACCACATCCATTTTACCTTAAACCAGAAAGGAAGCGCTGGTGGGGAATATGGGGAGGGGGGGAGAAGGGGCTTGGCAGCCGCTGGTGCCGAAACCTCAGTGAGCTTGAGCTGTGCATCAGGGAGAGGACGCACAGGTGGTACCAGCCTGTGCGGCGGCCAGAGGGAATGAGCTGGAATCTGCTGCCCCAGCAGGGTCACCTCAGCAATTCGTGGGGTTAACCTTGAGCATGAGGCTAAAGTAGCTACCATAGCAGGCTATTCAAGCACGGGCTCGTCTCTTAAGTGAACCAGGCCTTATTTCTGCACAGTGAGGTTCAAACTGAATTAACACTGCACCTTCGTCATGCTGCGCCTTCTGAAACATTCCCTGTCTCTCCTCAAAAATGGAGCTGATGCCTCAAAGGCAAAACACTAGCTGGGAGGGGAAAGGGCAACACCGAGCCCAGCCCCACTTCCTGCACCCAGGGAACCGAATCCCACCCACTCTGCTCTGCTCTCCCCCTCCAGGACCTGGCAGGCAGGCTACAAGGTCATTCCTCCTCCTTTTGGGGCCACGTGCCAGGCTGGCTGGTGGATGTGAAGACACGCTGGAGAAGACAATGATGCTGCCTACAACTGCTGGCCACCAGTGGAGGAGCAGGTTCCTCATGAGGTGGCAAGAAGCTTGTCGTAAGTAATGCCTACTCAGGTACTAAGTACGATGATCCTGTTTGTCAAGGGAGTGGAAAGAAAATAGGTCACATCAGGGTTAAGAATAGGGGAGAGGGACAGCTAAGAATGGAGATGTTTGAACTAATTCCTGATTCCTTTAGAGGCCAGGCTAGCTGGGAGGGAGAGCGAGACTCTAAAGCTGAAGATGGGCTTAAAGTGGGACAGTGAGTGATGATTGCTTCTGAATTCCAGTGGGCCCAGCAGGTGAGAAACAGATACCACCGCACAAAGATCCACTCCGAACATGTCTCAGATTGGCATCCTGTAAGATGCAGGCTCCTCTCTGCAGTAGGGGTTTATAGGTAGGCTGCTGAGCAAGGTTCCCAGCTCTTCACGGCAGAAGTCATGACAGATTTTAGAAGGGAATGCAGGATGCGAATGCAGAATTGTCCTACTGGGCACTGCCACATGTAGTGAAAATCAAGGAGTAAATAAAGAAGATCTCTTCTAAATTAAATTGTAAAAGTTCAGCTTGCACATCTTCTCAGTGGACTGGGGAGCCTGAGTATCCCTGTATCCCTGAGTGCAGAGCAGAGACTGCTAGGGTGATGTGGGGCATCAGGGAATGTACCTGCACTTCAGAGAAGCATCTGGGCACCGCCAGCAGAGGAAAGGGAACTCTTGGAGAGTGTCCATAACTACTGCATGCCCAGGCAGCCGAGTGGGTCTGTGGTTTCCCTTGCTCCCATCCTCCTGATCAAATGTGGGGGTACCACTATAAGAAGCTGGGGGAATGATTTCCTTCTCCAGACAATGAGCATCTTTGTAATCCATCCTCACAGACTAGTCTGCTCTATACATTATTTACAATGAATGCTACTGAGTCTTGACTTAATCTGATATTCCTGGATCAGCTTTCTGCCACCTACTAGAGTCACCAAACACCCCACAAAGTAACTTCATCTTCCCCTAACACAAAACCACACACTACTCATCCTTCTGTAGGGCTGGAAGACAGCTTCGAGTTCTTTCTATTGCTTCCCTGCCTCTATTCCCCGTAACGCTGCATCCTAACCAGTGCAATGAATTCCTTGGTCTCAGCTCACTTGCATCCGTTGCAGGGACTGAAAATGAAATCAGACCTTCTCCTCTCTATGATTTTAGTAAAATATTTCCAAGAGCATAAAGCAATATATGGGTAACAACAAGACATTTTTGGCACATCCTACACGGCTGCAGAAACTTGGCATAAGTCCAGTTCCTGAACACAACCACAACCAGCTGCCTGAGACTTTGCTCCTACCAGCCACTGCCAGCAGCCCTACTGGTGGAACCCCACAGCTGCCCAGCGGGGGCCGGTGGCAGGTAGGTATTTTGAGAGATAAGCCCTGAACAGAATGCCACCTGTATAGCATTACACACAGTCTGCTCTTGCCTTTCTTGGTGTACAAAGCAGCTAAGTGTTATCTCATCATCACAGCTGTCAATCTATTATTAATACTGTACTTTTGTTAAGCATCCAGGAAAAGATGGGGTCACTTGAGTCACTCATGGCTCTCTCCCTTCCCCACCCTAGCTCCCATTCTTTTAATTCTCTCCCTACAAAAAGAGCGCAATGTATTCTGAACGGAATTAAATATCAGCCAGGCAGACAGTACCTGCACTGCACCAGTCCATAGGCTGTGAACTGCTTTCATGGCAATCTCTGCTGTTGACCCCAACCTTTGCATGACAAGAAAGCACAGACGTACTCAGGGTAAAGATCTCTCTTGTATTTCATCATAAGGATCCATAATTATCATTAAAAGAGCACACAGACTGCCACGGCCTGGGCTAATGTGCACCTGAGATCTCAACTGTATGACAGAAAAAAATTCTTGAAGGAACTGTGAAAGATGGATGAAATAAAAAAAGAGCAGAGACACTCTCTCTGAACACTTATCCCTTGGTCCTTAATAAAGTCATATACCTTAGGATCCAAGCTGTGGAGTCTCCTTAGGCTACCAGTCCAAAACTCTGCCAATTCTCACATGGATTGCTGGGAACACAAAAAGAGCTGACACAGGATGAGAGGATTTGAGTATGAAGGCAGCATCACTGACAGAAACCAAGTCGATATGAAAAAATGGGCTACGGAGCAGACCAAACTCGAGTGAGAGTGCTGCGAGGGAAGAGAGGAAGAGCATGGCTGACTGCAGAGCTGTTCCAGGCAGAGCTTCTCCATAGCATGGGTCTTGACCGGCTCCCTCTCCTGTGACAGTTCTTTCACAGTTCCCTTGGGGTTAAGAAACAAAACACCTGCTTGTTGGTTCTTTGGAAAAAAACCCCAACACACAGGACAGAAGAATCTGGTTTCCAGTCCAGGAAAGAATGGCAACACAATAAAGGCATCCACTTTAGCTATCACTCACCCATAAAAAGACTCTACCAACTCCAAGTGACTGCTTTCTCTGAAGACAAGTGAGAAGTGGAGAGGACAGGGCACGACGTAGAGACAAACCTGCCTCAGTTTTAGTCAAATGTTCAAACTTGTCACCTTACAAAACAGCAAGGGAGCTGAATTTGCTTCCCACATTGAAGAAATTACTCTCAGTTCCACAAAAGGAATTAAGCTGAAGGATGCAAATGTTTTACATAGTCTGCTTAAACATTACTCCCACTCCTTTAATGACAGGAGGCACGAAGCTTGCTTTCCTGTTGCTGGTGCTTCTTTGTCACAGAAAGGAGAGTTTTAAAAGCCACTGGCTCCCAGGAAGGGCTGGAAACTACTGCCCTGATACCACTCGCAAGGATCTGGACCCATGTCTGGAATGCTGATCCACGACAGCTCTTAAAATGCTCGTTTGCGGATTAACCCTTTTCCTAACACCCCTTTCTTCAACTACCAACCTGCAATTTTTTTCCTCATCTTCATTGCTATGGGCAATTTTGGTCAGAGGAGATCCTTGCGGGGCTATTGCTGTGGGATTCAGAAACTATTTTGGGAACAATGGCAAGTACCAGGTATCCAGTGGTTTAGGGTTTCCTTGCTGCTTTTTTAATCGCTTTCTTGGTCATCCTTTTGTACTGTAATCTAATTCATAAAAAAGTCTCTTGCCACAAGACCTACACAACACACTGTGGATACGGATAGCAAACTATACCCTGATTCTGAGGCTAACTTAGACCTGAGTCTGATCTATCACAAAGGTTAGGATTCAAACTGTAGGAGCGCAACTGAATGTATCATAGAATCACAGAATGTTTTGGGTTGGAAGAGACCTTTAGAGGTCATCTAGTCCAACCCCTGAGATGTAGGTTGTTTTGTTTCCATTTTTCTTAAAAACTTTTCATTAACATGCCTATTTCTGAAAAAATAGAGCTTCTTAAACACATACCAGTCCCTTCCCGCTCAACCCTGACTGTTTAGAAAGAGCTGTCCTTTATCAGAGGTGACACCTCCCACCGCTTTCTGCTCCATTCTCCTCCGACAGGTTCTAGTGCTCTAGTATCTGGCAGCAAAGTCCTCTGGGATGCACTGTTCATACTTCCTCGTGAAACTGGAAGGATATTTACTTGCTTGCTCATAAAAAAAAAAAAAAAAAAGGGCTAAGAGGAAAGTCATACTGCCAGGGAGCAGGCCAGCAGTAAAGGGATGTATCTATGAGGAAGCTCATTACACTGCAGGGCACTGCGGCGAAGAGTCCTGCTGTGAGGGTCATATTGTAGCCGTAGCTGTGCTCAAGGTGCTGATGGGTGAGGATGGGAATGCATTGCTCTAATACATGCACTCTCTCTCCCCTGCTTTTCACCTACCAGTGCTTGGCTGTTGGCTTTCGCTATGTGCTGCCGAGTCCTTCTTTGCTTGCCCTTCCTCCTGCAAGTGTAACAGTGGCAACCTGGAAGTGGACTGTAGCGGCTTGGGCCTCTCTTCCATCCCCTCAGACATCCCCACAAACACCAGGACCTTCCTCTTTCTCAACAACAAACTCAGCATCCTGCCGGGAGCAGTGTTTTCCAACCTCTCTGCCCTACAGAGGCTGGATCTATCCAACAACTTCTTGGACCAGCTCCCTCAGAACATCTTCAGCGACCTGGGGAACCTCACAGAGCTTCAGCTGAGGAACAACAGCATTCGGGCCTTGGACAAGGACCTGCTACAACACACGGCCCTGCTGCGCCAGCTGGATCTCTCCATCAATGGCCTGGCCCAGATACCCTCGGGCATCTTTGACGACCTGCCTGCTCTCCGCTCCCTCTCTCTCAGGTCCAATCGCCTGCAGAGCCTGGACAGGGTGACCTTCGAACCGCTGACCAGCCTGCAGCAACTCCAAGTTGGGGATAACCCCTGGGAATGTGACTGCAACCTCCGAGACTTCAAGCACTGGATGGAGTGGTTCTCCTACCGAGGTAGGTGCTCGCGCAGTGGGAGCTAAGTGTGGAAGCACTGGTTTTCCACAGGAAGGCAGACAAAGGCGGGCAGGGAAGAAACACGGGCAGATACATCTGGCAGGTCAGGCTGACCCAAATGCCAGATCTTAGCCAAGGAGCATGAGGACCATGCTACAATGCTAAGAGACAGTTTAGTGCCACTGCACCTTCATACAGCAACACTGCCAGGCTGAGAAGTCCTCTGCAACCCCACATCTCTTATTTCCTTATTTTGTTTCTAATCTGAAAGATTTTTTTTTTTTTTGAGAGGAAAGAAATTTCCTCAAATAACATCAAAATTTTAGGATTATGAGTTCCCCTCACCCTTTCTGCCTAAAGAGAAGAAATGCTTTTCATGCTTGAAAATAACCATCCTGTTCTCTTCCTTAAGCCAGGAGAAGTAAAAGCCAGATTTGACTGTAAAGCATCAGGTTTGTTTTCAACAAAAGAACCATAGGAAACAGTGCCACTCAGGAAAATACTGCAACTAATATTGGCAAACCCAAACCAAACCTCAAATTAACAAGCCAGGCCCCGAGTCAGACTGGCTATAAAATCGTCATTTCAAAACAAGCAGTTTTTGACCAGTTTGTATTTCCAGCTTTTCCTCAAAATATGGAAGGCTGGAAAGGTAGGTATCGCTTAGCACGAATGCTGATGGGATGACACGCTTTCACAAGCTGCGACTCAAAGAAAGATGGCACATTTTGCAGGAATGATGACTGAAGGCCTGACCTTCTGTTGCTGGAGCCAATGAGTAGGAAAGGGTCTCAAATCATGCGGATAGCAACAGTCAGCTGTCACATCCCTGCTGATCACAGCCATGCTGCAAAGAGATTATCTATGCCTATGGCTACACTGCAGTCTGGAATATGCATTTGTGTGAGCAGAATCAAACAAGCACGAGTGCCACTTTCCTCTTTTTTTTTTTTGGTTTGTTTTCTTTCTTGACTCTCGTATCACAGAGCCGACGGAAAGCACACGGAGATAATTTTGCTTTTTTTTCCCCTTCCAAAGAAATTGCCCAAACTCGCTCAAGCATTTGTTTCAACATCTGTCACTATTTTCACAGAGGGGGGATGGATTAGTTGTTAGAAGATGGGACTGTGTGTCTGTTGTTATTTTGAGAAGATACAGCCTGGTCCTATCTTTTTGCTTTAATTTCTCCTTTTCTAAAATGGTTCTACTGGCACTTACATAACTGATTAAACAGTATGAGGCTGACTTAATAGACGGTTTCAGAGGGTTCTCATACCTCGGCCTGAGAGATGTCTATGTAGATATCTCGCACCATGAGCTCTACTGTCAAATCCAACCTAGGCAGAAGGATCCCAGCCAGCTGCCATGGTTGAAGCTGTTCCAGCTGTGGAGGGCTAAGGCATGCAAAATGTCTCCAAGTTAGACAAAACAATAATTTTAAAGGGTATCAAGTGTGCTTCTGCCCAGTGCATGGAGGTGCACTCCCTCCCTCCACCTTTGACATGCACTGTGGATCTGGCAGGCGATGGGGTCTGCAGCACCTCCTGACTTCAGTGTCACCCTTCAACACTAGAAACATCCTGCACTAGATCATGGCTGCCTTTTGGGGATAGGAGAAACTCTCTGAATACTCTCTCTACTCAGCAATGCATTCACGCATGAAGGACTGCATTTTATAGCCCCACTGCTATAGTAAAGCAGTTCCCCACTTGATAACCATAATGCTGCTATGCCTGACTTCTGTAAGGCAAATCCTTAGTAGGTGTGAACAGAGTCATAGGAACTTACCCCCACCTGAGGATCTAGCTCTGCTGTCACTGTATTGGGATGAAGCCATGGTTCACTCCTATTATCTCTATTGGGACAGGTGGGAAAATCGACCAGCTGGCATGTACCCTGCCCAAGGAGCTGAAAGGGAAGGATATGCGAATGGTGCCCATGGAGATGTTTAACTACTGCTCCCAGCTGGATGATGAGAACAGCTCTACCGTGCTGGACAATACTGGCCCACCCTGCACCAAAGGAAGCCCAACTCCTTCCAAATCTAAATCGGGCCAAGAAACAGAAGTGGAGCCCAGTGTGGGATGCCCTCAAAAACAGCGATATAGGCCTGTGAGCGTGCGCCGGGCTATTGGCACTGTGATCATTGCAGGGGTGGTTTGCGGCATTGTTTGCATCATGATGGTGGTGGCAGCTGCTTATGGTTGCATCTATGCCTCCCTTATGGCCAAGTACCACCGGGAGCTGAAGAAGAGGCAGCCGCTCATGGGTGACACAGAAGGCGAACACGAAGAGCAAAAACAAATCTCTTCTGTGGCATGAAACTCTTCTAGGAAGGAAGAGACAGCAATGAACAAAGGTACCTGAGAGCAGTCAAGCATGGGGTCCTCCCAAAATACATCTTCCCAGACAGACAGACAGACAGACTGTGCTATTGCTCCACTCACCCAAGTAATGCAACATGCTTCTGGGGGGTCAGGGCACTTGGCTCAATTTCTGTTCCTCTGCCCCAGGCCCATTTTGTGTCCTTTCGCCCTTGGGCCCTCCCAGACAAATAAAGTAGAGTCAGACCTCGAGTGCTTGCTGTGCCTCATGCCCTTGCACAGGGCTTCCCTCGCATGCCTGCTGTGGAGGCAGCTGGCATCTTCTGGGAACCTGTGTTATCCTCTCAGCTTCAGTCCTGAGTCATCCTGTATCCTGTCAAGAGCTCTCTGCAAACAGAGAGAGCAACTCTGTGAAAGCTTGTGTGAGGAGCAGGACACCAGAAGTGTCCATGCCTCACTGTTAGGGTCACTGCTGTTGCGTGACAGTAAGTTGCTGCGCACCCCACAAGTCAGTGCTGCCAAGAGCACATCAGAAAGGAGGGAAGGTCCCTAGGGGATGACAGCAGCCAGGGGGGAGATTGCCCCTCTCACTTTTAAAGGTGGAAAGATACCTGTATCACTCTAATATGCTGACAGGGAGCACAGCATCCCTCTTTTTGCTCCTGGCCAAGTCTGAATCTGCGAGCTGACACACACGTCATTCGTTAGAGCTGCACAGATAGGGAGCCGTCCTCCTGTACACACACACACTTCCTGACTTACTCTGATCCCAACACACACAGAGCCCCCAAACATCCAGGCACCCCACCTGTGCATGCAGAGCCACATCTGCCCTCTGCATGCAGCCATGAATACCTTCAGCCTTACTCTCATCATAACAGTGCATAGCACCTTCTGCTTCAGACAAAATACATGCACCTTGCCCCTGAGGAGCCTTCAAAAACATCTCAGCCATAGTGCAGAGCCAGTTGAAATGGGCAGGAGAAGATGGAGAAAGGCAAAGTTTTTAAGGGTACAGCATGAGTCTGTGGAAACGAGTACACAGCATGAAAAAAAAAATAAGGTGTGTTCTTGTTACCTATTTTATGTTTTCTATGATAAATTGAGAGGGTAAGGATATGAAGCCTCTATTTGGAAATGTTTGATTGGCACAGCAGAAGTGGGTCATCAGGAAAGACTAGAGGAGGAGGTGGCTTACCAGCCTTGGTAGCGTAAGCCATGCTGAGGAGTAGTGTGAGCCTAGGGGAAGGTGGCGGGAGAAGACAACACACAACCCAAGAGCTAGTGTGGCTGGCAGAGGGGGGCAAGCATGATGTATGGAGGTGGTTATGCAGCTGGGGTGACTGAAAATTGTGGGGCAGGGGGGGAGGCACAATTCTGGAAGGTGTTGAGGTAAAGGCTGAAACCTGAACCACAGCATGGGGCAGGTGGGGGAGCCCAGAAAGGGGCCAACAGCCAACACTGTACACAGTACAGCCCAGATACGCTCCCCTCACCATCACTGCTGTGCTCACTGCCATCCACTGCTGCACGTGAGTGTGCCCAGACACACGACTGCGCACACTGCCACTGTCATGTAGGGTGACTTCCCCCAATCAGATTTTAAAGCCCTCAGACTGCAGTGCCTCCTATTAGTCTTAGCTCTTTCTGACCTGACGGGGGGAGGGGGTGGAAATAAAGTGAGAGGGGAAAAAAATGAAAGGAACTCAACATACGGACTCATTTTGTACCACTGGAAGTGGGATAAAATGCTGTCTCCAGGGGAGAGCGCACATTGCCATGGTAACCTGCTCTAACCCGTCACAGTGGGTATTCCTGGGCGAGGAAGATGACACCGAAGGTCGTGCATCCGCAGTGCCTGTGGATGGTGTGATCCCTGCCATCAGGAAACAAGCTGGCAGCCAGCCCAGCTTTGCAGGGTGTTTCACTTGCAACCTGTGTTCAGAGCCCAGCATGCACTGCAGGTAGACCCTGCCAGGGCACGTCACCTCTTCCTGCTCCAGCTGGATCCCAATGCCTTTGGATGTCTCACAGCCCTCCTGCTTGCTGCTGCTGAATCCCTGTGGAAGCAATGCACGCTGGCTCCTCACCCCCTTCTGGTCCCAGACAGGTGGTTGTACTGACCCATGGGCACACAATGCCAAGTCCTTAATCAAAGCTTGGAGTGGCAAAATCCCTCCTGGCCTACCCAGGGCCACCAGAGGCAAAGAGACAGGATGCTCGGAGCTGTTTTGGCATGACTTCCCCTTGACACAGGGATGCATGGGACAGAGGAGGATGTTCTTCAGGAAGCAGAAGACCAGGCTGCCCTGGAAGAAGGACTGGGAGAAGTAGTCCAACCAAAAGTGTGCACACACACCATACTCCCACTCCCAGCACACTGCTTGTGGGGAAGAGGAGGAGGAGGGGGGCTGGCAAGATGTGAGGAGGAAGGACTCTTCCCCCATGCACTGTATAGCAACTCCAACTAACCCATCTGCTGCAACCGTAGCCCGCTCTGAAGGGCAGAACTGGTGCACTGCAGACTCCGTATGCGTGTTACTTCTGCTCCACCTTGCCAGCAAGCCAGGACTAGACTCTGCCTGCTGGATCCAAACCTCTCCCCAACCTCCCTCTCAGGAGAACTTCTCCCTTTACCATACTGGACTCCGCAATCATACTTGAAATGGGACTTGAGTCAGAGTGGTATATTTATAGATCTATATTTTACTTGCATCAAATAATGGTGAAATATTGCACAAAACAAATGGGATCTATATATGTGTGTGTGCGTGTGTGTGTGAGCGTGTGTGTGTGAGTGAGCAAGAGTGTGAGAGAGATTGTTTTTAAGGCGATAGACTAGAGGTAAAATGAATGGGAGGGAGGCAGGGGACAATGCAGGGGTTGGGGGGGGTGAAATCCTCCTTTCCCTGCACCTTCCCTGTGATCTCCTCCTGCCCTGACCAATTTTTCTTTGTTGCTAATAATATTTTCTACATCTTGTATTGTGGGGTTGATGATGACCTTGCCCATCCTTTCCTTTTTTGTTTTCATTTATAAGGCAGAAAGTCTGGATTCATCTCAACCCTAGACAAGGGACTGCTATGTTTAGAAACCCACCAAGGAAAGGAGAAGACAGGAAAGGGGAGAAAAGAGAGTTGCTGAGAAACATGAAGGCTGGCTGCTATGGGGAGTCCCACTGGAAAGCAAATACCGTGCTTGGAAGGACAAGGACTCGTCCTCTTTCATGCAGAGCAGAGCAACAGGGTTCACTGGGAAATGCCCTCTTTATACCACTGTTTGCAAACAGGTTCCTCCTCTGCTCCCTAGCAGACCTGGAAAACAGGCTGCCCTCGGGTGACTGAGCTGCTGCACTGTCCACAGGCACTCTAGGGAACATGGTACCCAGCATGGTCAGAAAGGAAGCTCTCCTGTGGGATGCCAGATACGGAACGAGACCCAGTGTTCCTTGTGTGCCCAGGCAATGGGTTCCTCTGGTGTGGGGGGACAGGGGCTCCCATTCTCCCTGCAGGCATGGCTAGGCATGTGGGGAATCCCCCTGAACCCACCCTTTGCTGCAGGCAGGTGTACCAGTGCCCCATGCGGGTGCCTGCCCTCAGGAAACGGTCATCTGGGGCAGGCAGGTCCAACACGTGTCAGGGCAATGTAGGGGCTGGCAGAGCCACCAGAAACACCCCTTACGCCCCCCCTGCTCCCCTTCCCCACATGCCCACCTGTGGTACAGGCAAGCGCATTTCTTGCAGGGAACAGATGGCACTTGTAATTTCTTTTTCTTTTTGTTATTGTTTGAGGGAGAGCAACAAGATTTTCTAAAATGATTGAATGGAGGTTTCTTTGGCATGAGACAGAAAATTTTTAAAGGTATATTATATTTCTGGCTTGTTGTTACAGAAGAATAATAAAGAATGTATTTTCCTATGCTCCTTCTTGTTTAAATGAGATCTCTAATAGTAACCTTCCCTCTCTCCCCTACACCCTGCAAAAACAAACACTGCAGGGATACAGCCAGCCAAACGAAAAAGCCCCTGAATTCCCTGAAAAACCCCTCCAATATACATGTGCTTGTCTGTACATAGCGTTTGAACTCAGAATGAACATGCACATATATACATGGACATATACTATATCAGTAAGCCCTAGGCAAGCATGTGCCTGTAGTCAGGGTGAGGCCGTGGGACTAAATACGCAGTCAGTCAAGGTGAGACCCTAGCTCTAGAAACACACAGACACACACACACACACTGCTCTGGGGACACAGCCAGACAAGGGCGATTGTGTAACAAGGATAAGATACTGTGGCAATCAGCTCATTACATAAAAGTAGAAAGGGCCAAATTAATCCCTAGCGTAAGAACGCAGAAGCCAATGGAGTTATATTCAGGTCAAATTGATTCCAAAAGCTTTTTTCTTTTATTATTTTTTTAATTAGAGCATAATGTTCAATAAAACTTACAGTAACAAACAGCGAGCTATGGGTTCCTACATGTCCGGATTCCTGACTCTCCTGAGCAAGGTTATTTTGAAATGAATGGCAATTGCTATCTAATCCTATTGCACCCCCAAGTACACAAGCTGTCACCCCTGGAGCTAAAAGAGTCTCTCCACCAGCTGTTCACTGGCTAGGTCTATCACACACAGCTAAGAAGTTTAAATTCCCCACTTCTCAGCTTCCAGTTCTATGTATACACAATTCATCAAGCACTCTTCCTGTGAGAAAAAGCTCACCCCGATGCGTGTGGAACCACAAAAGATGTTAAACCCTGCCACAAGCAAACCCTTGTGCCACTGCATTCACACTGTTACACTCGGCCACCCTGTTATACTCCAGTTTGATCTGCAGCGAAAAACTGGGAGCAGAACCCAGATACTCATAATCTGGTAACAGCTGAGGCATCTGCTCTGCGGAAAAGGTATGTGCCGCGAGAGAACCACCATTATTGTTTAATGGTATGGTGTCTATGACACATAGTTTAATCTAATTTTGCCATGTAGGTAGAG